ATATATACTATATATATATATATATACTGATAAAAACATTCTAAAAAAAATCAAATTTTAGCGATACTAGATAAAAGATAAAATGTTAAAGTTACTAATTATATTTTCTGTACAAATTGTAATTAAGCGTAGTAAATATATATTTTAGTTTACTTCACTATCAATATTTATACACTAATAAATAATCGACGAGTTTACACGTTTATATACATCTATTTTCATTTTTCGTTATTAGCCTAAATGTATAAGCTAGAACCATGACATTAAATTTAATCTGTATTTAAATTGTTTATTGTGCTGTACAATTAAAAAGTTTTTTTTTATAAATTTGTTCTTTTATATAAATTGCTTTTTGCGCTTTTGCGTTTTTATTAATCTTTTTTTGAATATTGATATCTTTTCACATGTTTTCTTTTATCGTTACACATATAACTGTGCTAAAATATATTTTATTCTGTAAGAAGAAACAACATTTACTCAACAACTTACTCACATTTCTCATCAGACAGAGTTTTTAATTTTGTATTTTCTTTTTCTAAATCATTGATATGTGTTATTTGCGAAAATTACTTTCCTTCGTATTGAATACAAATGTACATTTGCTAGAATTTATCACTAATGGAGCGAAAAGGAAATTGAACCGTATATATTAAAATAGTAGCTTTGTGTCAGTCTTATGCAATTGCATAATTTATCTATCTTTCTATAAGTCTGTTCTTTTTAGATAAAGTTCTTGCACGAGTCATTTTTTTTCCCTTTTCTCTCCATGTTGAAAAGAAAAAGAGAAAAAATGAACCGTGCAAGAAGTTCAGTTAAAAAGAATAGACTTTATGACAAGCTATTTGTTTTTTATTATGGCGCGTTTTCTGCTCTATGGATATTTAAGATATATTTTTTATTTGTATTATTATAGAAAGATATCACCGTTTTGATTACTCTAAATCAGAGCTGTCCAGGATACTTTTAATTTACGCTTGAAATTGATATGTGTCAATATTCATGCCTATTACCATTCCTACACTTTATTGCTATTTTGTTATGACGCTCGTTCTTAGAGACAACACTAGTCTGAAATTGTTAAAAGTTGTTAAAAATTGTTAAAAGTTTTTGATCTATGTCACTAAGTTTAAAAGTATAGTATATTATTATAAGGTATTGC